ATAAATGACAGTGTTGACACAAACTATTGACTGTTTGAATCCCTCCACAGACATGCATGTGTGCTTCTTCCTCTAGCTGTTCCAGAGCTCAGTAACTCGGTGTAGTGGATTTCTTAGCCATGACTTTGTCCTTGGGTTCAGATCAGGACTCTGGACTAGACATGTCGATGTTATCAGCATGTTTTATCAAATCTTTTATCAATGAGATGCACTGTCTTGCATAACAAGTGGTAGCTGTTTGTTGCTATTCTAATATCAGCTTCCGGTGTGTTACTGAAGGAAGTTCTGTTGGGTAGCTAAACTTATAATCACAGTTATCCTGGTTAGCAGTTGTAATGTTGAACATTTAGCACAACTATTTGTTAACTTGAAAACCACCAAAGCAAGAGGACCTTTGTGCAATTAAAATAATTGCACAAAGGTGCATTTTTTCACATTTATTCTGTTTTCATAATTGCTGGAGGCCAAAATTGTCACTCAAATTTGCCTTTGAGATGTAATTGCCAAGTCCTTGCGTGGTCATTTTTATGAGTATTTAAGTCGAACAAATCACATTTGCCACATTAATTTATTACAGTCATATACTAGAGTTCAAGTTTGGTGTCTAGGTTCATTACTCCTGGCAATATGACACAGAAAATTAGGATTGATGAGTAAATATGAGTTGGGAGCTACAGGTGGAGGATGGGCAGCAGTGCCCATGCCTGCTCCATTAGTGTGATTGTAATGCTTCAGTATTCTACAAATGAGGCTCTGGGACACTCACCATCCTTTTGACCTTCACCGTAACATGTTGGTAGTTAAATAGCCTTTGTAAGATGCTTCCTGAAAGTGGCAACAGATGGGAGATTATCACCAATAACAAAAAACTCCACAAGTGTAGTTTTGTTTGCAGCTCTTTGTCTGTTCATGTTAGCGTGTGTTTTTGGGCCAGATCTTCCTGTTCTCTCAGGAGAAAAGAAGTCCAGAGAATCCAGAGAAGGTAGTGCTTGGAAGCATGGAGAGGCTGCCTCTTCTTCTACTTCTTACTTTCTTCTCCTTCTTCTCTGCCAGGGCATTATAAAGAGAGATGAGCTCGTGTTCAGGGCTGCGAAGCGTCGGGGGATCCCCGTACTCATGATGACATCCGGAGGATATCAGAAGCAAACAGCCCGCATAATCGCAGACTCCATCCTCAACCTGCACCGGCAAGGTCTAATAGAAGACAACGCCGCGGACGGAGAGGGATCGACACCGCTGACGACCCACATGACGTCTACCTCTGGATCGGCAGGGTCAACATCCACAGCTGTCTGAGGAGCCTTAATCCTGGAGCTAACACTAACATACCTGACTTTAAAGCAGCGGTCCCCAACCCCCGGGCCTCGGACCGGTAGC